TAAGAACTGGATCTGCCCAGTGCGGCCCAGACAGTTTACGTCAGACAAACAGCAGCGCCTGTATCACGAGAGGCCCTCTCTTTCCTGCCAGCAGCATCTCTGGAACAGGAAGGAGTGGGAGAGGGAGGAGGGGGGTGGGATCAATAGATGTGATCTGCTTCTTGGCGAGCTCTATCTTGTGGTGCCGCTGGAGCATGAGGCTCATGTTGTCGTAGTGGAGTGAGCTCATGGCTTTATAAAGACTACAGTAACATCGCTGTGAAGCAGCTAAATATAATCCTCTGCTGGAGACTGAAAAAACTTAATTGCCCAAGCCGCAGAGCAGCATGGTCCCCCCAAGTGGTAACCCTGCACTAGCCCCTCGCCTCCCCGCTATTGATCCGGGGGCCCTCGCTCCCCATTGGTACGATAAACACTTTTTTTTTTTTTCCTGCCTCTTCTCGCTCTTCCCCTCATGTATCTCCTCGCTTACTTTCTCTTTCCCCCTTTTTTTTCCTGTTTTTCTGTCTCCTCGACTTCCCTTTTGTTTGCCTCCATAGATCTGCACATCATAAATCTCTGTCAGCTTCTCCTGAGTGTCTGGCATATCCGTTAATAAAGAGGCCCCTCCCCTCTCCTCAGGTCCACCCCCTCCTCTCAGTCCTCTCGCTGCCAGAGCAGGACTAATGAATGAGAAACTCCAAAATTAGGGGCCTCTCCCTCATAGATTAGAATGGGTCCCTATGGAGCGCCGGGCTTGCCTCCAACCAAACCACAGCCGTCAACCACCACCCCCCCCCCCCTATATTTCCATCTTTCATATTCTGTCTGCAGCACAAACACACACTCAGACATATGAGTGCATAAGCCCACGCCACACACACACACACACACACACTCGTGCACGTTGCCCCAAGAGTCTTTTGGCCCCTTATTCCCCTGATGGTCATTAACCTGGAGCCAGTTAGACAGAGAGGCGTACTCCATATTCCCGCTAAGTGTGTTTTGGAATCTCCAATTCCTTCCTTTTTCCCCAAGGGCCTCAAAAAACCCCTCCCAGAGCCCCAGCCCCTTTTTTCATTTACATTTTCCCCAGTGAGAACACACACCTAGCCCCCCTCGGTGGCATACAAGCATCTATATGTATTTCTGTGACTTTTGTGGGGCTGCACAGATTTTAACTATGGTCTCCGCTCTCCCAAAAATGAGTTCCCGGCTGTGTGTGTCAGAGCGTTAAAAGGTGGCAGTGGCCCCTGGAGGAGAGGTCAGCATGGCAGCTGCCAGTGGGTTCTGGCTGTGGTGGGGAGGCTGAGCCGGGCTGAGAGGAGGTCTGTCAGGAGCTAATTGAGTTCGTCCTACCAGCGCTGACTCTGGGGCCAGTGGCTTATCAGGCCACATCGCCTGGGGCCCTCGAGACAGATCTGCCCCTACTGGGGCATCTGATATCACCATCACCCTGCCTTCAGATGTCAACCCCCACAACTAACCCTTTCCCCTTCACTTACTCAGTCTGATCAGGTAGCAGAGATGTGACACTCTGGGATGAGGTGAGCAAATGTTATAAAATGGTGTTTTTGGCATCTGGTGGCCTTGAGAGTGAAAAGGACATCAGGAATTTACTCACTGTCTGAGTCTGGAGCACAGGTTTGTTCTGTACGCTTGTGATTTATGCGTGGAACAGGGACGATGTCAGGATCCTCCTGAAGGAGGCAGGTATGGCTCTCAGCAGGAATACTTGCAAATTGGCTCAATTAGATCCCGAACGTTCTGTGTTCTTGCAATAGTGTCACCCAATGTTCAGAATTTGGCTTGCAGGCGAGGGAAGTGTTGAGACGAGAGGAATGAGAGCTCTGCGGTTCTCCTCTTGGAAGTGGAGGAACAGCGAGTGTGAGACGAGCTGCCAGATCATTAGGCCAGCTAATCCTGGTCACAGCAGCACCAGTGGAATGATATTAGGGATCTGAAATGCTGTTAGGAGGGCCAGGTGGAATCAGATTAAAACCAAACTGCGCAGTGTGCGTTTGCGGGCCCATAACCTACTACTCAGCATGAATTTTGATCGGTACAAAGGGAACAAAAGGAGGAGGAACAGAGAGAGAAAAAGAGAGCGGGAGAGATACTGTGTCTTAGACGAGCGCTGCTCCTTTGGGCAGCCAGGCAGCAGAATCTGAAAAGCTCTTACCTTGAGGAAGGAAGGAAGACAGAACTATGGATTTTACAGCATCAAGTCTCAGATAGTTGGGCAGACCCTTTCCTGTCTGCTCTGTCTGTGTAGCACACAAGCTAATTAGCACCTGCCCCACATATTGAATTATTTATTAGGACTATTGCTGCTGTCAAACTATTTAATGTTCATAATTCATTCTCCTTACAATTGTATTTATAGATTTAAATTGGACCTGTCCCAGCAGAGATTACGAATATTTATAGAAATATTTTAGACTGTTTGATTAATACGCCAGGTTCAAGTGGTTAGGAGTCCCTCAGTATCATTAATCAATATATGCAGGCTTGTTAAAAACATAAGCATAGCAGTGGTATAATGTGTCATAGCAGAATGAGTTAAGGGGATTCCAGCCAGCACATTTATTATAAATGACCACATTGAGCTGGAGGGGAAACAGTTAAGACACTTATGCAATTATGCTAAGTGTCACCCTGAAGGTGGCCTTTGAACCGGGGTTAAGCTTACTCTGAATTTGTGAAATAAAAGCTAAATGGAGCCATCTTGCGCTCCTACGTTTTAATATATAGCCTTTAATAAGCCAAGTGCAGGTGCCCTATCGCACAGGTGCACATATCCATCTGAAACAGAGAACATAAAGCAGATGAACACAGAGCCGCGCATTAATTTATGGGGATGCAATCTGCATTCATTATCAAGAGAGGCAAGTTCTATTTTAGAGAGGCATGAACAGGTTTCACTTTTTTTTTTTTCTGTTTCTGCGCGAACATTAAAGAGCAGAGGTGGATCATTTTCAGAGCGGTAAATCAGAACAGCAGTCGCCTACTGTTACAAGTGTGGCGAGCATTGTTTAAATTGAGAGTAACCGAAAGACACAATTGGGCAGCATTTTGTTGAGCAGAGCGGCGGCTGTTTTATATAGTGAAGGCTTTATATTGCGGGAGAGAAATTCCAGAAGTACTCAAGCAAAGGGCTTATTCCACAAGGTCACCGGTTTTAACAGGGGGCATTTTTTATTATTTATTTTAGCAGTTAACCTTTTTGTGAATTTCCAGAAGTGGTAGGCACCTGGAGCTCCAATGAATATACATGACAGCAGGGAGGGAAACCCGGGAATGAGATTTAATTTGACACGCTGACCCCCATCTCCACGGGCCCAGGAAGCCAGGGTGAGAAAATAAGGTTGACCCACTGACCCCTGGGCCTGAACCCCTCCGTCACCCATCCTCACAATTAAATCAGCCTCAGAGAGCAAGAAGCAGTCCGGCCAACCAATAGGGGACACCGCGGCGGAGGCCTCTCGTTTCCGGTTTTTCTCTGAAGTGCTCCGAGACTGACAGGCTTCGTCCAATCAGAAAGATAGAGCCCGGCGGGAGACTTCTTCTCTCTCTCTCTCTCTCTCCCTGTGCTGATGGTAAACTGACATGTCAAATATGTAAACATTACCATTAGTTGGCAATATGCTAATGGAACTAATGTGCTAAGGCACAACTTGGGCTGTCTGGCTGCCACTCAGTAGGAACCCCTGTATCTGAATTTGCATAAGCCATGCAAGGCTCAATTTAGTTAATGCAGGCGAGTGCAGGCGACCTTTCACCCCTCAGTGGTACCTAATGCAAAAGGGTGTGTGTGTATGTTAGCGCGTGACCTCGCCTTGACCCGTAGAGGTTACTGTGTCTACACGGCATCCCCAACACACTGAGTTATTCATCTCCTCCGCCAGTTCACCTCCTCCATCCGCTCGATTTGCGGATGGAAAAATTAGTTGTCCGGGCTAAGTTTTTTTTTTTTTCTTCCCCCCCTGTTGTTCTCTCAGTGCAGTTTCAAGTTAGAGGTTATAGAGCAGCGCTGAAATAGATTTATATGGGCAAGGAAGACTTCAAAGTGCATTTTGTGGCCACAGCCAAAAGGCTGCACTTTAGTCTGCACACGTTACAGCATCAGATTGCATGTACTCCAAAATACAGTTATTAGGCAGACAGTGAAAAAGTCAATATCTTGCCATCATGTTTCCTTTTGGTTGACTGCTGACTCAAGGAGACAAGTCAAGGTCCGCTGTGCTCTCTAAACTATGGAGATGCCCCGGCCTTGATGCGCTCAGTGTGTGTGTGTGCACTTGTGTGTTAAGTTATTTGAGTGCTCTCTCTCTTTCTGTCCCTCTGTCTCCCTTCAACTTTTCTTTCTTTCTTTCTGTCTGTGTTTGTTTTGTTCAGGGATGTGTGCAACTGCGTAAAGATGTGTTTGTTGTAGTCGTGTGTGTTTGGACTCTGAAGCACTTTCGTAGCTGTGTGGCTAATGAAGCACTTAGGATCCTCACCCGGCTTCACTGGAAAGATGGAAAAAAAAACAGACGGATAGCTGTAGCAGATGTACAGCACAGTCTGAGTGTCACTACAGTATACAACCACACACACATCCTCTCTGCCTCCTCTCCTATGTGTGAAAATTGCATATTTATATTCAGAAATGCATCTTTTTCATCATAAAGCTTTTTAGAATGCCTGGCAGTTGTTGTGCTCTGTATAAGGAATCTGTTAAGGCTCGTCTTTCAGTGCTCCGTTCACCCTAAATTCATTATCTCTCCAATACTTAACATAATGTCTTGTTAAAGGGAAACAACACTTACAGTGTAATTGTCGTGAACTGTCACATAGTCATTATATTTTGTACTTAATGTCAATCTAATATTTTGCTGTTTAGGCCCTTCCGTCACTCCACAGGATAATGAGATTCATTACTACCCTCTGAAGACCTCTGCTAATCATCTTCATCTTCTCCTCCTCCCTTTCCCATCAACCCTCCCCCCTCTGACT